TTTTAAGAATTTCTCCATTTCTGTCCAACATTGCATTTAGTCAAAAATAAATGTATTATAAAAAGAAATACTCAAAGATGATGAGAATAATTGCAGAATTATAACATCTGGGAGTGTTATGAAACTGGCATCTATTCAGCAAAAATATGCCTTTTACTGTTAAATATATGCTTAAATTCCTTAAATTTAACTGTCTTTTGAAAAGGCATTTATTACTGACGCTATTCATTATCTTGGGAGCTTTTAAATTCAGACTTTTCATTAAATGTGATGTTACAAAGTATCAGAGGTAACCATTATATTAAGCCATAAAATAAAAATACAGCTAAGAAATACAGCTGTCAAAAACAAGATTTTATCACCCAACAGAATTGCTGTGATTTATTTGGGGAAGTGTTCCATATCTGTCCAAATCTCCTCTCTGCTGAGCTCTAAACAATATCTAAGCCATTATGTTTGAGTATATTTGTATGCAGAACACTTAGTAATCACAGAACATTTAAACCATCTGTGTCATTTAATAAATGTGGAAGTTGGAGCCTAAAGGAGTTAAGTGACTGGCTCAGACTCCATCAGGTATAAACAGCCGTCTTTTGTCAGCAAAGTATACAATTCCCTTCAATTTACCCTAAAAATGATAAGAGACTGAAGTGATACTGTAATTCTGATGAATACTATTTACCACATCCAACAGACATATAAATGACTGAGGAATAATAAAGAAAATATAGGCAAAATATTTATCGTATGGGTTTTCAACCTTAGCACTACCAAAACATTGGGCCAAAAAACTCTTTATTGTGAAGGATTGCCTTGTACATTGTAAAATGTTCAGCAGCACCCCTGGCCTCTACCCACTAGATGCCACTAGCACACCCATAACTGTGATAACCAAAAATATCTCCAGACATTGCCAACCACTGTCTAATCATTGGGAAGAAAACTGCTGAAGTTGATGTTTTTAAAATTAAATTTCTCATTTCATCTTTTTCACCATAATCATTTTGGAAACTCTCACAATTTTCTACTAAATCACCCTGATCCTAAACAAGGTGCAATCAGACTCATTGGAGTTGTCTCGAAGTTTTCTATCTCCAATTTACAAGTTGTATCAATTATAGATGTCAGGTATTAATAAATAATGTCGTGGTAGTTAATATAAACATAGACAAACACTTCTGAAATAGAAACTTAAAAACTAATGATGCAACCTATGGAATTATTTTGATTCTCACACAGATTCACAA